GAGTTCAGGCATATCTCCAATTCCATATTTTACTAATTCAGTATTTTACACATAACTCTTATTGCACATATGTGTATGCAAATAGTTGAACTCCTACAATTTAGGGGAGGGACACAGATTCGTTATTAGTACTGCTTTGAAACCTTGAATAATATTTTTTTTTACACTAAGTCTATGTAATGGATAGTCTCGTAGAGGAGAGAACACTGGAATAGGTTAGACTTTGTTGCTATAGCAAGCTCAAATTATGTCAGACAGTTTTGATCATCTGCCACAGAGCATTGCTTGCAATGATCAGGGTTTTTAATTGCTGCTCTTCTTGCTTCTTAATAGCAAATTATTGTTAGTTTTCCTCATTATTATCAATTTAGTTTCTTCTGGGTTGTTTTTAACCCCACAGTATGTACTAATGAATAGTTAAGAATTTTTAGGCTATAATTTTCCAAAACTACTCTAGTATGTATGTACTGTGCTCAAGTATGAATCATCCACACCCTTATTACTAAAGCAGATGTGTACATATATCCCCCTATAATTTGCTAATGTGAGAACATTTTACTAGCAATGTGTGCAGTGCATGGAATTTTAGCATGCAAATTACTTACAATCTACCATCAAGGTAAATCTAACACAAGTATTAAGTTATTTTACATTTGCATGATATTGCTTTAAAATAAAAAAGCAAACATATGAACTAATGATTTAATCTTATTATACACACTAGTGCACCAGTAGGGTCCCTCAGCCTGCCCTGTGGGGATCAGGCTGAAACCAGCTCTCTGACATCCCCTGAGGGGTCCCGGATTGTGAGTGGGTGATTCTCAGGTGACACACCCCAGAATAGGGCTCCCTCCTCTCTGGTTACGGGTGCATCACCCGAGAACCGCAGCTACCAAGTCACCGTAGTTTAGCAGCTCCTGCATTGAGCGTCTGCCCCCTAGTGGTCATTGTGCATCATAGCTATAGGTTGGATGGTCAAATGGTCACTTTGGCTTTATATATATATATATATAGACTATAAGCACTTAATGCATTTCCCCCCAGATTTTGATTATCTGGGATAAGTTAAAAATGTGAATCATTACTCAAGGTCAATATTCCCCAAACTGTGTTCTACCAGATGTTAATAGGTGTTCTACAAATAATGGAGTTTTCACTCAGATAAGTCGGAAGAAAGCAATATATATTGTGTTTCCTTTTTAGAGGTTTGCAAGGACCTTTAGCATATTGTAATAGTTAATTGTATGTGTCAACTGGGATAAACCACAATACCTAGATATTTGATCAAACACTAGTCTGGATGTTGCTGTGAAGGTATGTTTTACATGAGATTAACATTTAAATAAGTAGACTTTGAATTAAGTAGAGTGTTCTCCATAATGTGCATGGGCCTATTCAAGCAGCTGAAGATCCTGAAGACTGACCTCCTGAGGAAGAGGGAATTCTGCCTGCAGGCTGTCTTGGAATCAAACTGCAACATCGACTCTTCTCTGGGTCTGCAGCCTCGTGGCCTACTTTGAAGATTTTGTTTACCAGCCTCTACAATTATGTGAGCCAATTCCTTAAAATAAATCTCCATGTAAATGGTAGACAGACAGCTAGATAGATATATAGAGACACACACATATATATACATATATATACACACACACATACATACATACATAGCTATAGATATATACTATGTTATATTTGTATATATGATAAAAATATATAGAAATACACTCTATATTAGATCTTATGCATACATATATGGGGGAAGAGATTACACACACACACATCCTATTGGTTCTGTTTCTCTAGAACAAATACTTGTGTTAAAGCTCTGAAAAGTTCTGCAATTTAAAACACTACGTGAACTGAGTATTTTCCCAGTTTATTTAACACAAAACATTTTTCATACAACCCCTACTAATATCTCAAAATATAGCTTGGGAAATGCTTTTCTCAAGACTTTACCTTAGACAGAGGCTGATATGTACCCTTTGTCTGCACGTCAGATTCTAAGTCCACCTGGTTCAGAAACTAATAAATATTGGAACAAAAGGTTCCACGTGCCTTTTTCTCTGCACAGGGCATAGGCGGAGGAAAATAACGCCGTGTTATGCAAGCACAATGAGCTTGCATAACGCCCATTGTGGAGCCGGTTCACACGTAGTGATGCCTGATGAAAATATGTTCCGGTGTAACGGACCCCACACTGTGCTTCTGTACAATGCTCCTTTGTGGATATTCCTGGGGACTGGAGAGTCATACTGAAATGTCATCCACCGCCACGTAACAGGGCACAAGGCAATGCACGAATGGTTGAAGCCCAACAAGAAAGGCCGGCTCTGTCTCCTAAAAGGCCTATGCCTCCTGTGTCTCTTATTGTCCCTTCTGAAATGTGTTTCTTCGAAGGGTCCTCACTGGTCCCAATTTACGCTTCGGGTCTTATCCTAGAAGCCACTTCCTCCAGAAAGCCTTTTCTGACTGCACCCCCACCCTGACCCCACCGGGCAGCCCTTTTCCCTGTTAAATGCATTCACACACCATGTGCCTCTCTATGCACTGGATGCGCACATCATTTATTTCGTAATGCCTGTCTCCCCTATAAGATTATGAGGCCCACAGGAACAGGGGACATTTCCAGCTTCCTGTTTGTCTCAGCAGCCCGACTGCCTGGCGATCAGTGGGAACTCCACATGAAGGACCAAATGATTGAAGGGAACTTCCTTCTCCCTAATTTTCCTCATTAGTCTATATAAATTATCCTTTCTTTGTAGGGAAATGCAAGTACTTTTCTCTACGCTGATCTCTCTCTAATGATCTTCACTCTTTCAACCTATAAAAAAAAAAAACTGTGCCAAGAGTCCATGAAATGTTCATGTATGTGTGTGTGTGTGTGTGTGTGTGTATGCTTGCATTCACACACATGTACATCTATACATTCATTCACTCTTGCAAATAATAATAAAAAATTATTTACCTAGCCTAATAGTGTGAAGAGATGGGGAACACAGGGGCAGTAAGTACGTGGAATAGGAGAGACCGATTCCAATTACAGCTGTTACCATTTTGGGGGTTCAAGTAAAATCGTGCAAAAGTTTTCAAACCTATAAAAAGAAAAGCAGAGGCTCAGTCTAATTCTAGCATCGGTTTCTCCTCTGGTTCCCCAGGTGCCATTTACCCAGCCCTGGTGCTACACTTCAGAGTGTACACTGAAAATGGGTTTCTCTTACATGAATGATCACCGGAAACAAAAGCAGTAAGAAAAATAATGCATTGGCAGGTAGACAGGCTTTCATTTCAGAACATTTGGCCAAGTATTTGGAGGGGGTGTGTATGTAAGGATTGAAGGTGAGGATGACATCCAGTGGACACCTGACTCCACTTTCTCTCTGTGCACCTTCCAACATCCCTTCTGGACCCTCAGCTACTCACTTTGCAGGGAGGGGCCAGAATGGCAAAGATCTTGGAGCTGACACTGGCTCACCCTCTCCTTCCAGCCTTACCCCCAGGGGCAAAAAGCCTGTGCCATCCAAATAGTGTCATCTGAAGTTGCCAAGGTGGATTACCCCCAGACAAGATGTACATGCAGGGTTCTTCCGTGACTCCCTCTCCTCTTAAGTCTACAGAGAAGTCTCCTCCAATCCAGTCCTGGCGTGGAAGATCCAAGACATGGAAAAGCTAATGCATCACTAGCTGATAGGAAACCTCAAGCATGAGCAAGCAGCTCTCTAATAAGAGTATCCCTCCCCACCCTACTGGTTTGGCTCAGTGGATAGAGCATCAGCCTGCGGACTGAAGGGTCCCAGGTTCGATTCTGGTTAAGGGCATGTACCTTGGTTGCAGACACATCCCCAGTAGGGAGTGTGTAGGAGGCAGCTGATCGATGTTTCTAACTCTCTATCCCTCTCCCCTCCTCTCTGTAAGAAAATCAATAAAATATATATTTTTTAAAAGTATCCTCCCCGGTTCCTGTCCCCCCGCCCCCCCCAACCTGGCCCCTGTACTTGGGACCAGGGAAATCTATGCCAGAACTTCAAAAATATGCTAAACAAATTTTCATACTTTCAAAAAAATCTGGGCTCCCTATCCAAAGCTTCATTTTTGGTATAAGAAATGGGTATTGAATCACAGTAACCTCTCACTTTTTGAAAAAATATATTTTATTGATTTTTACAGAGAGGAAGAGAGAGGGATAGAGAGTTAGAAACATCGATGAGAGAGAAACATCGATCAGCTGCTTCCTGCACACATCCTACCGGGGATGTGCCCGCAACCAAGGTACATGGCCTTGACTGGAATTGAACCTGGGACCTTTCATTCCGCCAACACTCTACACACTGAGCCAAACTAGTTAAGGCCTCTCACTTTTTAAATTGTGGGGACTATTTTTTAACCTGCCAGAGCCAAAGCATGCTTACCCTAGCATCTGTGCATATTTGCTCATTGATAACTCCTTAACTAGGAGTAGGCCACCTGCTAAATTGAAATTCTTTGACATGATCCAGAGTCATTGAAAGATAGGATGCTTTCAGCAAAAACGGCTTTCTAAAACACACTGTCCCATTGATGAAAACATTTATTGAAGAATACCTTTCCAGATTCAGAGCCCAGGCAGGGCACACTGCCTCTCACCTCACATGCATAAAATTGTTCTCCACTCAGTATGAGATGGTCCACTTGGGGCCATACACACATAGTATCATTCCTACAAATGGAAGATAAAGGTAAGGGCCACCAGAAGTCACACACACACACACACACACACACACACACACACACACACACACAGTTGCAAAAACGTGCCTGGGCATACTCGTTATAAATGCATTCTTTGGCTTCTCAGAGAAGCTACTTGAAGGTCACCTCCACTTAAAATCCTTGGCTGGAGAGCTCCTTGTTGCTTTATCACCATAATCTATTAAAATCTAAGAATAGCTGATGATGAAAATTCCAGCCATATTTTTAAATCTCTGTGAGGGGCAGGGGAGAAAAACCAACACATGAGTCTATTTGAAATCATTTTATGAATTTTAATCATAGCAAATGTGTTTTAACAGTAGTCATAAAATCAACATTACCACATATACAAAGGACAAGACACCAGTTTGGCATACAAAAATACCATATATTAAAATTGGGTTCATTGGAAAAACGCAGGACTTGCTAAGACACCATCTACAACAGAGAGAGCAAGCAAGAATGCTTCCAAGACATTCAGACTTATAAACAGCAGCTTGATAGCCCCCTTATGAAGTCAATATTTGGCAACATTTGGACAATATTTTCTACACAGCCCAGCAGCTCATTTATCTGTAGGGCGATTCAGCCCTTTAAAAGAAAAGCTCCTAAAATAATCCACATAATTTTAAATGAAACATGTCAAGGACTTGAGTGAACAGCCTCTACGAAGCATTAATCTAGCCATTTGACTGGAGTATTAGTTATCCTGGGAACCCACCAGTGGAGCCGTAATGGCAGGAACCCCGTGGAGCAGCTGCATGGCTTATGTTGGGAGCTCACAACCACCCATTGCTGAAGCCAGCCTCCCACCTGCAACTGTCAAGTGGGGCAAACAGGAACAAGTGGTGGAAGAAAAAATATAATAAATGACAACAACCAGATAGAAACCAAATATTCTCAAAAGAGTCTTTCCAATAGTATTAACCTATTCAAGTCAGGATACATCCATAGGTACAGTCATTGCATTCCATGGCTAAGATGTGATTAGAGTTTGTCTATGACTCAGCAACCAACTCTAGAGCAGGCTCTGAAGTTGCCCAGTATGCTGACAATCCCTGTATTCAATTTAAACATCCTGAATTGAATTTGGGAGATCACAATGGAATGACCAATTGTGCTTGGCCATTATTTCCAATTGGTGAGTTTCTTCCAGCTGAAATCCACCGCGACTAACCTCCAGCTCCTATACAATTTGTTTTGGAGCTACAATCCCACTACAGATTTCCTTCCCTTTTATGCTAGACCAGTGGTCGGCAAACTGCGGCTCGTGAGCCACATGAGGTTCTTTGGCCCCTTGAGTGTGGCCACAAAGTTTCAATCGCACTGTACGTGCGCGCCCGCACGTGGCATTTTGTGGATGAGCCACACTCAAGGGGCTGCAGTTTGCCGACCACTGTGCTAAACAGATCTGTCCACCTTTTGCTCTATACCCAAGGCCACATCTACATCTCTCCCACACAGGAACTACTTCATAGTTGGGTTATCCCTCAGCTAGGAAAACCTGAATAGGAATTATCTGAAGCAAGTGTAAAATACCAGCTAATGCACCCTCCCACTATTTAAACAGAGATGACATGTTAACTCCTTCCCCTTTAAGGGGCATTTGTCTCATCTATTTCCTTTCTCTTACAGTTTAGGCTCCTCCACCACCATCATATCAAACCTTCCACTTTTGGATTCTCAAAAAGCAAATTAAAAATTGAGCATACCTTTGGGAAACTCTTGTTAGAACAGCTCAATAGCTCACACCCCAGGGAGGTCATAGAGACTTTCACGTGGGCTGCTAGCCCTACATCCCACAGTGATGAGTTCAGAGTGGTGCTGTAGAACAGGAACAGCTATAGAAAACACTCCCAGAAAACAAATATAATACATACTGTTGCAAACTTCAAGAGAGCCCTCAGTACTTTACCACAAATATTACTGATTGTCCCTAAAAAGATCATAATATGAATAGTATCAAAAACCTTAGACTAGAATAATAAAGTCTAGCTAATGAGATGAGTGTTTTCAAGCACCACTACACCATAAGTGAGATATACATAGTGGGATATCCCAGGCAGTGAATCCTGAAAAAATAAAAAAATAAATAAAGGTCATTGGCTCAACTGGGCAAGGAAACCTGTGCAGAAAAATCAGAGCCACATTCTAAGAGTTCAGGAAAAACGGTGCTCTACCCAAGACCACTTGAGCAAAACCAAACAAGAAGTATTTTTGGAAGACAGAAATTAAATTCCCCACCTGCTTATGGTCTTCAAATTTCCAATAAAATGTATGCAGAAACCACCCCTTCCTAGATTTGAAAAGTCTCAAGATTTTGATTATATAGACATTCACAATAGTGGAGAGTTTGACATAACGTATGCAGTCAATACAATTTATTAAAATATTGACATCTAAATTCAACATTGTATAACCCACAAATTGGAAACATGACAAACAACATTTTTACTTGATTTTTAACTCGTATTACTGTTAAATTGTGTATCTACATATATATCTATATTTATATGTGAATCAATTGTCAGAAAAATCAATGGCTTAAATATCCACTTATTTTTAAGAAGTGTTTCATGTTGAACAAAATTCAGCAACTAATCATCACTTTTGAAGTAGACTACTATTTTCAAAACAGTTACCGAATTATCTTGACTATCTCACTCTTCTTTGGAGTCTGTTTTGGTAAGGATTATTCTGTGGGTGATATTTTACTGAGAATGATGGAAATGGTAAGGAACAGCTCCTTTCTTCTAGGTCAAGGATGACAGAGCAATTGACTGATGACTCGTCTTGTGTGGAAACAAAATGCTGACGGATTAGCAGCAGCATTTTTCTCAGAGAAGAAATTCAAATCTTTTGCATATCACTCCTCCAACAACTTCTGCACCTCTAACTTCCTTGTAAGTCTAACAAAAACCTATCATTTTGGCAAAAAATAATTTTTAGTAATTTTCATAAACAAGCTAAAAAAGAATGGTCAATGCCCATTGATGAGTTCTTTCGGGGGGAGGAGGGGCAGTCAAGGGGGTCCCGATTCAATTCTGCTAATTAGAAGCAAATGCATTTGGTTTACATTATATTCTAAAAACAATTAAAAACAGACTAACCAATTTTGACACAGCATGGGTTTTCAAATAAAGCAATGGGAACTTTTAAAATAAAAATCTAGAGTGGAATACTGTACTATCAGGAAGCATCTGATCTTTCTATGAATATGAATATATATATATCAAATTGAATTTTCTGCTTCCACTTACTCACTTAAAAAGCAATTTTAGTAACTTCCACGGGTAATGTTTTTAATGTTAAAAAAAAAAAAGTGTCTTTGTGCCAGGCTGCAAATCTTCTATTCTTTCCATGATAATGAAAATAAAATGCAAGACTAAAACAATGTCAAATCTGACTCTAAAAATAGTACCTATGTTTTAGTCTGGCAAATGAAAAATGATGCCCACATATGCCCACACCACATACAATAACAAACTGGAAGACTTCAAGGGCAAACAAAAACACTCTTTATGAACACTGTGAAACATGCTTGCTCTTACACCTCACACCTTACTAATGTAGCAGTGAAGTCTGTGTAAGATGCTGGAAGTGAAGAGAGATTTCATTAGGCTTTTTTTTCCCCCACAGTAACATTTACTTTTTGGCCATAAGACCCTAAACACATTTTCACAGTTACAGGTCATGCAAAACTTGCAAGTCGAAAGTCGAATGTTTTACAGCTACTGTGCAACTACTATTTTTGGACAATAAATTCACATGCAGCAAATGATCCCAGAAAAGGGGCTTCATAAAGCACTCTCAGCTTCACTGATCGTGCTCTGACCCAAAGTATCTAATAACCCCAAAGGGCAATCAATGAATTTTTACTATCATACTTGCGATCATATACTTTTTAAATCCAGAATGGTTTGTTTTTAGTCAACTGCATGTTACTACTAAACCACGAACTGTCTTAGCCTTACTCTGTTACTCCTAACACTTTGATGCTAGATATCATTGTACAACCATCCAGAATTGTGCTATCCAATGTGTTAGCCACTAACCACATGAGCTACTAAACTTAAATAACTTAAAATTAAATACTAAAACACAAAATCCAGTAACTCAGGAAACTAACCCCATTTCAACTGCCTATAGCCAATGTGGCTAGCGACTACTGTATCGGACTGCATAGGCTACATAATATTTCCATCATCACAGAAAGTTCTACTGAGCAGTGCCAACCTAGAAGATCCCAAGGGCTGCATCCTCAATGGTTTAACCTTCAAGGGATCCACTATTCAGTCGTGAGCAAGATTAAATTTAATTATATGTTTAAAGAAAATACCTTAAAGCTTTCTGATCATAAAGTATGACTGGAACTAAGAAATGATTTGCCTTTTCATCACAACTTATGCCCCAGGTTATTGTACAAAAAAATGTTCCAAAGACAATGCTTTTTGATAGCCTACTTGGCTCTACTTAACATATTAAGCATTCTCTTGCTTAGGTCAAGATCATTAATAAAGGTGAAAATTCATGCTTCTTATAGTTTACTATTTACACAACACTCGTCCTTTACACAGAAGGGAAGGATGGAGGGAAACCAATGGCTTGCAATTTTAAAAATTCAAATGACATGGTTTCTTTTAAACTTCTGTAACTCATCCTCTAAATCAACCTTTCTTTCATTTCCCAGAGAGGTAGATGCTAACTAAAATGAATACCAGTATAGAAAGCTACACACACACACACACACATAGACACACATACACACACACACAAACACACTTTAAAGCAAGAGTTGAGTTAGTAAAGGGTATTCATCCACCCTGAAGATCATGCAGAGCCCATGACAGGCCTAGGAAGAAGTATGAATTTCTTGTCTCCCTTTTGCTGCAGAATTTCAAGCAGCTCTATCAGTCTGTGGGCCTCAATGGACTCACCTACAAATGAAGCCACTGGAGGTTGCTTTCAACTCTAACTTTCTGTGCTTTCAGTTGTGACTTTTTCATTGATATGCAACTGTCAATGCTGGCCGATTGTGCCACTGGACTTTGGTCACATGGGGTCGACGAGTTGTTAGTGTCATGGGTTAATGCCAGAAGAGGCCAGAGCAATGGGATGCCAAATACCATTAAAACATCAAGTCCATAAAAATTCTGTCTGGCAGGCTAAGACATCACACACACACACACACACACACACACACACACACACACACACGTACACCCTAACAAACAGGTGCACAAGTAACTGTAGGCAGAATTCATTCAAACTGTTTTTTATGTCAGTAAGACTCACATAGAAAATTCTGCTTTTGGTTGTTATTGTTAACCTAGGTTGTAAAGTCAAGGTTCTATCACGGAGCTGATTAACTTCGCACTGCTTAATTGCAGCTCTAGCATCGGATTGTTTTTAAATAAAAGTTACGTGAATGGTAACTTGACTCAATATTTTTACACTAAGAAACACGGGGCGCTGTACTATCACATACTTTAGTGTCTGTATATAACCTACTTAACACATAGAAGTCTATCAAATACTACAGTACATGGCCGGTCATTTCTTACTGTACATAAACATATGTAGATATCATTTACAAAATTATTTGGAATATGGCATGGCTTAAAATTGCAAGGGTAAAGTCCATTTGAAATGTAGTGTTCTCAATGCAACATTTCTGTGTTTTTGGTGTTATTTTTTCCCCCCAAAAGGAGCAGAAATTGGGTCAGATGTGCATTACAGCAGCCTGGTTCAGTTGGAGAAATTGACACTAACCCAACAGTATATTATGTTACATAACAGAGGATAGCATCCAGCTAATATGATACCTAAATTATTCATACCAAATAAATCCTAGATTTTTGTATAATGCCCAATAGCTTACACAGTAAAATGGCATTTTAACCTAATATCTAGTTTGAGCTTTCAAATACATTTCCTAAAGGTCTTATGAAAAATTTGAAAGATTTGAAAAGCCCGAGTTCATATTTTTTTTAATTGAATCCTCACACCAATGAACAGTGTTGGCTCTGGATTCTAGTCATTATATTGTCATTTTATCTCTCCTAATTTCCATCACTTTAATGTGCATATTTTGTGCTGCTTGAAGGTCATAGCTAGCATAGAAGTAAATTAAATTGTCTCCATCTTAGAGGGTTATTTCCAGCTTTGCTTTTTGGAGCCAGTCACTGCTTATCTTCCTCTCCCCTATTTTCATGGATTCAATGGAACATAAACATAGATATTTATGAGAGGAGTCCTTGTCACATACCACTTGCTTCAGGAATGTCATAAAGGAAATTAGGACTGTAAAGCTCACAGCTATTTACACACACACACACACACACACACACACACACAGTATAGGAATTCGTCATTTCATCTAGCAAATCTTTCTTTGTGAGCATCTACAGACCATTACCCACTTAAGAATTTAGGATGAACTGGTCCATTTAAATTGAGAATGTGAGTTCTAGGTTTACCTCACCACTTTTCTCAATAAAAACACATTTCCAGATATACGGGATATTCTTACTTATACAACAAAAGAAAACTGGAATTCGGAATGGTTCAACTCTCATGGAACAATAATCTCTTTCAAAAAATAACTGTGGACTGTCTATTAAAATGCCAGTCCAGGTTTATCATCGGTTAACAACACTATTACAATATTCCCAAACTGGGAGAAAAGACAGAAGGTTCTGTTACTCTCCATTTGTGCCTCACAACTCGACTGCACAAAAGAAGAGCAGGTGTTGGAAGTGACGAGTGTGTGACTCCTCACTGAGTGGGTCCCAGTGCCCAGGAGGTAGGTGGCACCGTTTCAGACCCTGCACTCATTCATGCCTACTGAGTCTTACTACCAAGATTCTTCTGAAAAGATTCAAAACCCGAAGTAAACCGAATTACACACACTCATATAAATACACAATATTTACATTTAAAATTCTTATTTTGTGAGATGGCTTGAGAAAAATTGGCATATAGTTTTCCTGTGGGATTAGACATTTCTCATCATTACTCAGTTTATTGCTCCCCTGTTGAGCTTTCCATTTAATAAACACATATCGAGCTCTAATTACAAGGGAAGAAAAATGAAGGGACACGACAAACAAAACACAATACATTGGAAACACTTGTTCAAATAGTTTCTTCAAAAAACGACGGTCCGCTTAACTTAGTTTAATTCGGGCGCCATTCAAAAAGTATAAAAAGCCTTAGCAACTAAGTGAAGACTGGATTTCGGTTGTAAAAGAAAAGAAAACAGCACTGCGTGTCGTCACTGAATTGGTCATGGATTCATTCTCAGGTTGGATTCTACTTGTACACATAGCATCTTGGTTTTAATCTACCACATGTAGAGAAGATCACATCATATGCACTTGCACAGGTCAACATCTAAGTAGAATATGTCTATCTCATCACGTGACTTTGGAAAATCGTAAGTTACAGTCCATTTTATAAATGACTATGAGGATGCATGCAATCGTCTTCGAAGCTGCGCCATCAATGCTCAGAGCGACCCGTCTGGCATCTTTGTTGAGACCTCACATTCTGCCCCTCCGTGTCTGTCTTGGGTTAATCAACTGGCAGCCCGGAGGCCAGCGCTTGGCACCAAATGATCAGCGTCGCCCCCATCTTCTCACCCAAGTCCCATCATCAACGCCTGCTCCACCCAGAGTTGGCACCCACCAGTCACGCCCCCGCAGCCTGCTTCAGCCACAGGATATCACAGTGAAGCGCTTGGAAATGCAAGACATGTTGTGAAGCACGATGCCCAGCAGGAAGACCAGGACGCAGGCCACCAAGATCACAGTGCACACCCCCGACCAAGTGGAGCTTTTCACCACGCCCCGCCGGTCTGGCTCCTCCTCCGCTGCCTCTGGGGGAGCCCCGCCTTGCAGAGGCTGCTGCTCCGCAGGGATGGTCACCACAGTGACTGGCTTCTGCTGGCTCCCGGGCAGCAGGCGGCAGCCCATGTTTCCGGGCAGCAGCGCGCGCTCCTTGGAGATGGGAAGGGGCAGCATGTAGCACCCATTGCTGGGAAGTTTGATGAAGACCGGGGTGTGCTCGGAGGCGTGCGGGATGGCGATAACGGCGAGGACCTCGGGGTCGTCGGGGAGCTGTGACACGGAGAAGCCCGGAGGCAGCTTGGTGATGCCTCGGCACCACGGGCACCTCACGTCCTTCTGGCTCGTCCTCATCTGCTGAAGGCACACCGAGCAGCAGGTGTGTTTGCAATCCAGCAACTTGGGCCTTCGCCGGGGACTGTAATAATTGAAACAGATCTGACATTCCAGCAAGGAATCTTGGGAGAGCGTCTCCATCGTGCACTGGGTACAGGAAGGTCAAGGCCACAGGGAAGAAGCTTGCCCTCAGAGGCCACTGCTCCAGCACCTGCCTTCTCTGAGGCTTCCCAACGTCGTGAGGTGATGGGGGAGCTCACAGGCATCAAGCATGCTCAGGTGTGTTCATTTCTGAAGGAGACAAAAAAATGCAGACAAAGTTAGTTACTTCAAACAAGCTGAGACGCAGCATATCTGATGGATTTACACCACTGCTCAAAAGTCTTGACACTAGGCCAAACGCTTAAAACTGCCCCACCTGTGAGACCGTAGGATTCCTGTAATGTCCAGTGGCCGGTGAATGGCTTATCACAGACGGCTTGTCATGGCACATACTTTGCTCATTTCTAACGGCACAGATGCCTCTGGGATAGATGGGTACACAGTGCCCCCATATTTCATAAAAGGGGGCGACTGTTTGTTTTGTATATTTCAGTGGACCTGGATTATTCTTCTAATACATCAGAGAAACTCTCTTGCTTCCAATTAGTTTGCAGAATTTTCTGAAAGTAAATTTCTTTCCTTCAATCTTCTGACCTTCTTTCACTGACTCTCCTCCTCTTGTAGGTACTCACTGCCAAATGCAGGCAACTTTACAACCTAAGTACTTTGTGTAACCAAGTTGCCCCTTTATATGGGTTAGGCCTGTTCCTCTCTCATAGGTCATTGGAATGATGCCAAGAACACACACACACACAGGCATCTGTTATCATTTCCACCAAGTCCTTTGAACCAAGGTAATTCTTGTCAATTGGTTTCAAAAGAGACAAAAACAAAACAAGACACAAAGTACAAGACACCACAACCAAAACCACCAGCAGCAATGAACCTTCAGGCAGCCGGGGTCACAAAGGCACACAGGACCATGAATATTTTTCAGGCAGTTCTATTCATTTCGCTCCTACGTAGGCTTGTACCAAGTAAGATGACCACAAGCAAAGACTATTAATGAACTGATCCTAATCAAATGTTATATAGTGAAAGGTTGTCAGAAGACTGGCAGGCAGCCTTCGCCATAAAAACAGGAGCACAGTGTTAGCCTCTTGGTGTGCACCAGAAGCAGAGTAACTGGGTACCACTTAATTGGGGCTGGAGGAACCCCTTAGTGCTCCAGCGGTGGCGATAAAGGCTGCCCAACTCCATTTCCTACTGAAAGCATTCAAATGTGTCTCTGGATGGAGCCATGATTCTGAAACGAACTACTCAACCACTACTGTAGAAATAATTGCTAGTCCTGGAAGCCCACCCACACACAGAGAGGCAGGAGCTAACGACATAGAAAAGCTCTTTCATGTTTTTCTTAAAAAGCGAACCTTCTTTTTCTTTTCTTTTTTTAAAATATATTTTTATTGATTTTAGAGAAGAAGGGAGAGGAAGAGAGAGAGAGAAATATCAATGATGAAAGAGAATCATTGATCAGCTGCCTCCTGCACATCCCCTACTGGGGATCGAGCCTGCAACCCAGGCATGTGCCCTTGACTGGAATCGAACCTGGGACCTTTCAGTCCGCAGGCCGACGCTCTATCCACTGAGCCAAACCAGCTAGGGCGAACCTTCTTTTTCTAACTTCCTCTGTGAAATTAAGAATGCACAAGATGCCACATGTTAAAGTCAAAATTAAGAAAAGTTTAAAGTAAAAAATAATCACTGATAAAAATTAACAGTGATGCCCTGGCTGGGTGGCTCAGTTGGTTAGAGCATCATCCTGTACACCAAACTGTGGTGGGTTCGATCCCTGGTCGGGGCATGTATGGAAGGCAATCTCTCTCTCTCTTTCTCTCTCTCTCTCTCTCTCTCTCTCTCTCTCTCTCTCTCTCTCTCTCAAAATCAGTAAAAATGTTTCCTCAGGTGAGGATTAAAAAAAAAATTACCAGTGACAATCAAGACAGCAATATATTTTAAAAATATTTTAGCTGTAGTAAAAGCCCCTACATTACATTATTAAAAGTAAAATATAGCAATATAGCATTCAGAAAGTTCATATCATAATAAACTATTTATCCATCCACTGATTCAAGAAATATTTATTGAATAATTAAAATTCACTAAAAGTAGAACTTTAATGTTCTCACCAAAAGGAAAAACAAAGAATATAAACATGTTAGGTGACATATATGTTAATCAGCTAGATGGGGGGAATCCTTTCACAATGTATGCATTTACCAAATCACCACACTGTACACTTTAAATATCTTAGAGTTGTATGTCAATCAATTTGTCACAATAAAGCTGAAAAAAATAAAAAAGAGAGTATCTATCATGCACAAATCCAGCTACTGTAGGATATGAAGAAGAATCAGCCCCAAATCCAACACTTAAGCAATTTAAAGTTAGGTAAGAATGACTGTATATATTTTTCTCTTCCTTTCATTTATTCATTCAAATTTTCATTGAATATCTACCATGTTTCAAGCATGATGGTATTTGTTTTTGTTCCTTGTAGCTAAGACCTTGTCACTGCCCATAGGAAGCTCCCAGCCTAAAAGGACTCAGCAGTTATAAACACAAAGTGATGTGTGACCTACAGGACCTGGGGGAATCAGGATGGCTCAGGGACTAGTGTGGATTATGGAGAGGATTTGGACATGTAAAATCAGAGGCCAGGTCCTTTTCAGGTCAGAATCAGCCCAAGCAAAGGAAAGGAGGTGAGCAACCACAGGATTATTTTTATATAGCAAGTGTGACACTGACTAGGGGATTTTTTTTCTTAACGAGTAACTGAAAGATCCCATCTCTAAGGGTTTTCTAGTTTTAGCTCTAATATTGAGGTTTGTGATACAGATACCTGTTAAAGAAACAAAGTTCTCACAAAACCTGCAAGCACCCTCCCACAGGCGCAGGCAGGGACAGCAGGTCCTACAGGGAGGGAAGAGATGAGCATAGCCAGGCATATGTCAAGGGCATGTACTTTGATGGGGCCACTTCCTCACTGGCCAAGCAAGGAGGATGGAGTTGTGGCTGAAGGTCAAGTGAGTTCAGAGTCCACATACTGCCAGGCAGTGAAGGACTCAGCGCCAGTCCCGACTGTCCCTGCTACGCTGTGTGTGACCTGCCCAGAGGCACTTCGGGCTCTCAAAGAACTGCCCTTTCAAACAGATTGGGAGGAATGAGCGTTCCCCTTGGCCCTGCCCCAAGACCTGCCACACCTTTTTCCACCCCCAACAAAACCAACATGCAATTTTACTCATGAATTTATGTTTCGAGTAATGCTCACTTAATTGCTGTTAAGCTTCCTTCAAATTAGATTATACTACTCAAATTTCCAACTCCATCCAAGTAAGCTCTAACCCTTACCATACAGGCTGAACACAAAAGCAGAATGGTGACACAGCTCCATGCTCAACCACTCAAGCCACTTTGACAGCAGCCTCTCTGATTATTCACGGATTTGATCTCTATTAAGCCAGTTGGTACTGCATCCCAGTTTACTTTCTGGAGCATAACCAGTAATGATGATGATTAGTTAGGTAAAGAGAAGAACATTATGAGACTATGGACCGAAGCTAATGATGACTCATTCTTCCTCCCTTTCATCATAAACTCAAAAGATGTGAGTCAATATAGAAGAAAGAGAATGGAAACAAGGGCCACATTAGCTAGAAAAGAAAACTCCAAGTTCATAGTCAAAGACACAAGCACACACCAGTGACCGCTTTAGAAGCCTGTGTTTGGCAAGATGGGATGCCCAAATACTCATTAAATTTAAAAGGAAAGGATACTTTGCTAGAATGTATAAGAACAAATATACACTGAAATATATTGGAACAATTTTTAAATGTCACCACAATTTGTTTTGAAAGATCCTAAAGTAAAGAGCAAAGAGAAAAACAGACCACCAAAAGGGAGGGCATTCTCAAAATAATTATGGCTTACAGGATAGAACTTACAGCTTCATAAAACAGTACTTAGTTTCATCTATAATTATCAATTGTACCATATGCAGATAACAGGCTTGGACTAATCATTGAACTCAATATTAATACATGCCTTGGTTTTAAAATACTTTAAAAAACGAATGGAGATGTATTTACATGGGGGAGGAGTGATTTGGGGGGAAAACTATCAAAATGTCTGTATTGCTGCTACTGTTTGGGGCAATAGATATCTGGCACTTTATAACATTACATATTTTCACAAAATAAAAATTCTTTTAAATATTTTTAATTGATTTTTAGATAGAAACATGAATGTGAGAATGAAACACAGATCAGCTACATCCAGGAACTGAGTTCATAACCTGGGTATGTGCCCCGACCAGGAATAAGCCAGCAACCTTTTGGTGCACAGGATGACACCCAACTAACTGAGCCACATCAGCCAGGGCTAAAATTTCTTCTTTAAAAAACAACAACAACAACAAACTCTGTAATTTTAAGCATCTTTATAAAAGGTGTGAATATGACTTGAGTGACTGGTAAAATCACAAAGGTCTCCAACACTGAATTTTTATAAACTCTATTGCTTTTAGAAGTCCAGGCGTGGAGGGGGGCGGGGGGGAGGGGGAAGCCAATGAAATAAATAATCCAGAGAGTTCTACTCTTATAATCTTTCACTATTATATTCTTTCAAAGACTCTTCATACATCCTGATTTAGGTTTGCAACATGGCATTAATTATGGAGCCTCAGAACTGTTGCAAGAACTGATATTGACTATGCCTGTCTGACCTTGAATTGTTCCATTTGATTATCTAAATGAGGACCTTAAATTCAATGGTTGTGTTGAGAAAAATATCAGTCAGATACGAAACTAGACACTCTACTATTTTTCTTATACTGTTGAAACAGCATGTCTTTCTGATGCAGGCCATTTCCTTCATTCTTCGAGAAAATGTAAATATTTGAAATGGGATTAGACAAAATAATTACAATTCCATTTAACTTGGTATTTCAGCTGGCGAGACCACTTAGTTATATTAGACGTTAGTAAACACTTGGGTTAGTGGCAAGAAAGGGCATGGCTTGGTAGGATAGATGTCACTGACTTTTGGTCCTCTGGTAGCACAGAGCAATCCGTTCAGGGCACAACTGCCTAATCCATTTAGAGCACAATTGGTGTAACTACTGTCTTTGTGTTAATGGGGAAGGCAGCAAATTCTGACACATCTCAAATGCGAATTCCTTTGGCCAGTCT